ATCACTTACAACAGAGACAGATGACCGCCAGCAGGTTCCCGTCCAGATGTCTCCAGATGCTGACTCCGACCGGGTAGCAAGAGAGAGCCTCTGGGGTCATGGACTCCAGACCTAATTCTCCCAGATGACTTCCTCATCTGTCCCCACCCCCAATGGGCGTGGTCGGTTCAACAGGTAAATATCTCACACACAGTCATTAGCATGGCTGGAAATAGCAAATACCTAGCTGAATGATTGCAGAGGGGCATACTGGGACAGGAATTGTCAGGATTTTTGTTTGTTTGTTTTTTCTTGGTAGTTAAATGCCTAGGTCTGGCTGTGCACCCAGGCCTGAGACTGATCTGTCAGAGGTGTCTGATGATTAAAGTGGGTAGCGATGACTTAACAGAAGTACAACGCACTGATTGTAAACACTTCCTCGTTGCCTTTGGAGATGATTTTCCTATGACAGGGCTGGACTAGAGTCCTGCTCTCCGAGTCAAATGAATATATAAGTAAGTAGGGCAGGGCTCCTGTGAGACCTTTTTTTTTTTTTTTTTTTTTTTTTTGAGACTGTTCTTACAAAGAGGAATTTGCTAGAAGGGACTAAATAAAGATAAAGAATTTGATAAGTAACTGTCTCCTTAAAGTATAAAATTACAACCCACAGCAGGCTCAATTGAAAGCTTGCCCAGCATCTGGAGAAATCAAATAACATTCCTGCCACTTCGAATGCCCCTGCTAAATACTGTGCTACCATTGGGTGGAGAACACACATGAAGAATTAATTAGGGTAGATAAACCCCAGACTTACCTGCTGGGTCACTGAAACTCTTTAATTTCACTCACTTGCTACCATTTACTGGCATTGCATATAAACGATAAACCTTGTGTGTCTTTATTTAGACATATTTTATAAGAATTCTGACCAATTTCCTTATACATCAATTGTGTGTTTTCCCTAACTTGAAGCTCTTACATTTTATTCAAATTTGGGTTTTATTTTTTTTGTTTGTTTGTTTTTTTGTTTTTGTTTTTGTGTTTTGTTTTTTGAAACTCAAGTTTCAAGGACACTTGGGATTTTAATAGTAAGTATGTTTTGAGGAGCCTGAATTGGCTGAGAGCTTATTTGAATCTAAGCTTGAGGTCATCCTTTGACGAGTGTACTGATTTAATGAACACTCTAATCAACACGAGAGTCCATTGAGTATTAAGAATCAGTTCCAGTATTCTAAGCAATGTTTGTATTGGCATTTTTATGTGTTATGTACTTAAGTTTTTAAGTTCGGAAGCCTTTGCATTTGTCCCACGGATTGTAGGAATAGGACATACTGATAAAATCAATCTCCTTGCAAAAATTAAAGGTATTAGTAGTAAAAAGTTACAGCACTTCCTCAATAATAACAAGTACAACAGAATGAAGACATCTTTTGTTTTATTTATTTTCAAGGTTTTTCAAATTTTTACATGCATACATGTATGTGTATGTACACATGTATGCAGATGCCTAAAAAGACCAGGATAGGGCTTTACACTTCTTGGAACTTGGAAGTTCCAGATGGTTGTGAGCCACCTGACATGAATGCTGGGAACTGAACTCAGGTCCCCTCTGTTGTAATTTTAAAAAGCAAGCAGTACGTAAGAGAGATGCCACATGACAGAGTTTGGATGGAGGGTTTTTTTTTGTTGTTGTTGTTTTTTGTTTGTTTTGGTTTGTTTGTTTTGTTTTAAATCCGGAGAAAGTGAATGGGGAAAGAGGGGAGGGGAGGGGAAAGACCAACCTCTGGGGACAGAAGCAACAGAAGAGAGTGGTAGACAGGTGGGGGAGAGGGAGGGGGAGAGAGAGAGAGAGAGAGAGAGAGAGAGGGAGAGAGAGAGAGAGGGAGAGAGAGAGAGAGAGAGGGAGAGAGAGAGGGAGAGAGAGAGGGATGGGAAGTGAGCAGGACCCTTTAAAAAGGGAACATAGTGAATGTGCACAGGTGGTGCTCTTAGTGGCTGCAGCTGAGGGTGTGTCCTGTCAGAACCCCAAGGACAGGCCAGTACAGATGCCTGAATACTAACACTCTCCGTGAGCAGCAAGAGCTCTTAACTACCAGACTGTCCACCTGGCCCTGGTTAAGTGAAGACTACTAAACAACCTTGTGCAGGATGAATTGTTTTCTTCATTTTATGGAGAACAGAGCTGCCACTCAGAAAGGTTAGGAGACACAAAGGCATACAGCTAAGATGTGAATGGGCTAGTGTTTGTAACTGGCTCCTCTGAGCCATCGAGTGACCGAACCCCCATTAGATAGGGATGGGGACAGGAGCAGGAGTAGAGAAGAAAGGATGAATCTGGGGCAGTTCCCAAATTTCCCATTGTGGGTCAGGCATTTTAAGATAAATGACCAAATAAATAAATAAATAAATAAAGGTCTAGAAATGATTTTAAAACACTCAACAGCATCGACTGGCTTGTTTCCACTTCAAAGAGTGACGAGAAGATGACAGACAGCCTGTGCTGTCAGGCTCTCCTGCATATTGTTCCTTTTTTTTTTTTTTTTTTTTTTTTTTTTTTTAAAGTATTTATCCTCTTTTCGGTCCCAGATTCCTAAATGCCTTTTTAAGGATTGCAGTCACGGAGCCTGGAATGAGGCATGCTGTAGAAAGACTGCTCAGGGACACGAGGGTTGGGACTAGTCAGACAGGAGCAGAGAGAGACAGAGCTCAGTCACTGACTGTTCTGAACCTCACGGGTATCTCAAGGGCTGTTGACTGCACCAAGCTCCCTTTGTTCCCACACTCCAGGGTCAGCCTGAAACTCCTATCACAGCTACCAAAGTGTGGCAGAAGTTGTTCTCCGTTACCTCACGTTTCATTCCTTTTCTAGGAGATGGTCTGGGATCTCATTCCTGAAGCAGGAAAAGGAACATCCTTTTCTTGGGGTGGTGGGTTGGAACCAGGCTAGTCTTTATCAGAGAGAAATTTCCCATCACATTCTGAAAAGTTAATGCACAGGCTCAGAGGGCCATTTGGTGGGGCACCAGCTTATAAAGGGTTCCACAGTTTAGGCATCTCCTCACTTTGTGCAGGCAAAACCAATGCCACTATATAAGCCTCATCACAGATGCAGCCCACTATTTGCTTGTTGGTGACGGGTGGGACTAAAGTAGGGTTTTCCTTGGTGCCAGAAGCTGCCTTTGGAGATGGCATGTCCTATGGATCCAGTCCCTTCCCTGCTGCTATCATGATCTCCCTTTTCGGCCCAGTCACCTACTACTACATCAGTAGGAAGATGGCCTCCAGAAGCCATGGAGCCGGTTTCAGCTGCACCATGGGCTGGGCAGGCCCTTAGGGCCTGCTCTACCAGAAGCCCCACTGTACAAGTGACCTTGAACCATTGCTCCAGAGCCCAGCCAGTGGAGCTCTCTTACAGTTGTCAGTTTCAAATGTGGTATGACAAGCTGGTTCAAGTTCCTGCTGTGTCTTCTCTGCTATGATGGACTAAAACCTGTAGGTTCAGTCAAAGCCTCTCTCCTCTAGGTTGCTTTTTGTCAGGGTATTCTGTCTTAGCAAAAGAAATGAATTTAGGGAAAAAAAAAAACAGCAGCTACATAGTATAAAGGTTAATCTTGATTGACATCATGTCTGGATTTAGAATCACCCAGGAGACACATCTTTGGGTGTTTCTGTGATGATGATGCTGTCAGAAAGATTTAACTGGCTAAAGTGTGTAAGGGGAGGTCAATGAGTAAGAACCAAACAGTTCTGCCATAGTTATGATTATAGGCTGAGGGGCCATTTAACATATCAAAGCATACACGGCCACCAGGTTCTCCCAGCATCCCTCAGTCTCTACCTGTTTCAGGGTCTGGCTCTCATACTCTACCCTCTACCCTGAGCTCTCCAGCCCAGGGACTGGGCTGCCCTTCCCCCAGAGCTCTTCCCTGTGTAATTGAGACATTTTTCGTTACCTGCCCAGTTTGGACATCTGACCTCCTTGACTGCTACAGTTGGTTCCCGTTTCCCCCTTTTTCTTTCCTTCCTCCTCTCCCTGAATGGCCCAGCTCAGTATGGTCATCTCTACTCTGGACTCTCCCCAATATCTCTGCCTCTACCTACAGTCTCCCTTTTATGCACAATAAACTTTCTCCTCCACCGTACCAAGAAGCAATCATGCCCTTCCCTTCCCTTTCCTTTATATTTATGTATTTATTTAATTTACAAACACATCTATTGCTCGCCTTATCCACTCTTCAAACACAATTGCAAAATATGTCAAGGAGAGAATTGTTCGAAGCCTTAAATCGTTTGGCCACGCCTGAGGTGTTTTCAGAAAGTCAGTGGGAGAAAATCTGGACTGTATACAGAATTAGAGAGCTCGGTCCTTACAGCAAAATCCTAGCCATCCCGGAATCTCTAGAAGGTGATTGTCCATTTCAGAGCATTCCTGGAACAGAAAGATACACCGCAGCCGTGCAACCAAGCCACACACTTTTCTTTAGTTGATTGTTCCTCAGTTCTCGAATCACCCCAATCTAGCCCTAGACGGCGACTGGCCACTGCATTGCCAAGGTGCTCTGCTCAGGTGCGTGACCGGCTCACCTTCAGCCCATCACTCACCGCTTACCCTGTATCACTACCTCCTCGTTACTATAGGGCTGCCAGGCCCAATTCAGAGCAATTTGTTCCCCGGGGATTCCTCTGCTTCATTTTCAAGGTTAACATTCTTCCTAGCCAAGAGTCTTCTGGAACCTTGGAGAAGACCCGTCTCACGCTCATGCCTTAAAGGGAGTGAGATGCTTTAAGGGAAGTGATTCTTTTTCTCACCCGACAGAAAATAACCCCCAACTGGGAAGAAGGTTTTGCCCTAGCAGGCCTCACATTGAGTGGAGGGCCAAGCAATCCAGGGGAACCAGGCCTACCAGTAGGCTGAGGCTGCCCATCAGAGGGGACGTGAGAAGGGCTGGAGATGGCGAACTGTGGGTACCTGCCCTGAGTGGGTGGACCGGTGGAAACGGGAAGCTCTGAGCCTGTCGAGTATGGAGCAGGAGGATCAAGATGGAAGGGAGCCAGCTGACTCCCAGGAGCCCGCAGGGGCTGGGATCCCCAGGCAAGCTGTTAGGGTGGAGGGGCCAGAAGTCTCTGATGATGTGGATGTGGCCAGGGCCTCTGAGGAGGCGAGACAGGGAGAGGGGCCTGAAGTCTCCTCGGCTGTAGCCATGTTGAGGGTCCCCGAGGGGACAAGAAGGGTGGGAAGACCCGGAGTCTCCAGCGCAGAGAGGCTGTCTGAGGAGGACCAGCTGGAAACCCTGCAGGAGAAAGGAAGAAGGCTGGGGCTGCTGAGGGTCCAGGAGGCAGAAACTGGGGCGGAGTCCGAGCTGTCCGGAGAGATCAGCGAAATGGTGGTCCCCAAGGGCAGGGCGCCAGGCAAGTCGAAAGGGAAACGGAGGACTCGCCAGCATGAAGTGGATGAGCAAGACGATGAGCAAGACGGGGAGCGGCAGAGTGTGGAAAGCTATTTCGGCCAGCCTAGCCAGGAAGAGGAGCACTACTTAGAGCCCTACTTGGAGGGGACGGTGCGGCGCTATCGCTCGCGCACAGTGAAACGCAAGGGCTTAGCAGCTGACAATCTGCAGGGCGGCCGCAAGAGCCAGGGCAAGTACCGCCTGGAGAGGAAGCCCAGCATGAGGGCCCGCGCCGAGTCTCTGGCTTCCGGCCGCTCGCCCTTGGCACATCGCACGTCCCTGGCGCCTCGCTCCCCTCTGACTCCTCGCTCATCCCTGGCTACTCACTCGTCTGTAACGCCACGGGTGTCCCTGGTGCCCCGGGTGTCCCTGGGTCTGGGCTCTCACTTCTCTGGCATCTTGAAGGAAAGCTCCAGCTGGATACAGGAGCCAGAGCTGGAAAAGCGGCGGCCTACCATCCGCTTCAGCCTCTGCCCCAGGTCATCTCGCCGCCTGTCGCAGCGGTCCGACGGCCGCTGCCTCTCCTTCATCAGTGCCTTCAACGAGCTGGCAAAGATGGGCGACCCGGACCTGCTGGAGATGGTGAAGGAGGAAGGTAGGACCGCAGGCCAGCGCTCAACAGGCGCGTGAACTTGCTCCGCGAGCGTTTTCTGGGGGACGTTGGCAGCTGTGGGTCTCTGTCCCGGGGAAGTTCGCAGTGTGTGTGGCCAGCCCCGCGCTGCGCCTGCCAGGCGGTGGGTGACATTCTACGTCCCCCGGTGCACCTGCGCGCCCCGGACCTGCAGCCTGTGACTCCCTAGGGTATCCCGGCTCCTTGGACCCCACTGACCCCGAGTGATTGGCGTGGTGTGGCGCCCTGGCCAGGGGAACCCACTCCTGGCAGGTTCTGTAAGGGGCTGGCTCTGAGATCTTCCTGTCAGCTCTTTGCAGACCTTCCGACAAGTTTTGAGATTGTGATTATGGGATGGGCAGACCTTTAGGTCTAAAAGCTCTTGGGACCTAGTGTGTGTGTGTGTGTGTGTGTGTGTGTGTGTGTGTGTGTGTGTGTGAGACAACTTGAACTGAAGCCTTACTTCTGTTGAGAACAGTTTTTAACTAAGGTTTGCACTGACCTACATTCTGTCAATGTATTATTTAGTTAATGCATTATTCCTAAACATACAGTTTTCATGCTAGAATCACCAAGCCTCAATTCTCTTAGTAATTCTGGGGTTTTGTTTGTTTGTTTTTTATCCTTGTCACATTATTTAAATATAAAAGGTGTTGGGTGTTGGAAGAGGGGAGGGTAAGACCTCTCACTATGTTGCTGAGCCAGACTTCAAATTCATGGCAGAAATCCTGTCTTAGACTGGTGGCTGGGAATAAAGGCAGGAGCCACCACCCCTGCCCCTCCAAAAAAAGAAAAAAAAAAATCATTAGAAGATACAAATGTAGTCTTACTAGTCCGTCTTAAAGGGACCAAGAAATCAGGGAATAGTGTTATTCCCACCAACCCTTTATTTTTCTTTTTGAAACAGTCTCACCATGTAGACCAGGCTAGCCGAAAACACACACAGATATCTGCCTGCCTCTGCCTCCCAAGTGCTGGCGGTATTCACACTTCTCTCTTCCCTTCTAAAAACAGCCTTTTATTGAGACATAATCTTTATCCCATAAAACACACCAGTTAAGCATTGTGGTTAATGGTTTTTGTTTACCATTGCCATAGAGTCATTTTATATCATTTTCATCATTTCAGCTGATAGGCCTCTATGTAGCCATTCCCCATCCCTAGCCACAGGCATCTGTGCCTCTTGTCTCTGTGGATTTCCTTATCTCAGATATTTCAAGTAACTGGGACCATGAAGTTTGTGCTGTGTGTGAAACTGGCTTCTGTCTTTTGATATGTTTTTGAGGTTCAGTCACATAAAGCACCGTTCCTTTTATTTAACAAGTGCCATTTCACTGTGGAGTAACACCACACTCATTTGTCAAACTGTGGACATAACGCTAATTTCCCCCTTTATGCAATGAATGATACAGCAATGAACATTCATCTGTAAGTTATTGTTTACACATTGCTTTTCATTTTTCTTGAGTCTATCACAGGAACTCTGTGGAACATGCAGTCACTCTGTATTGACATGGCCACAGTGTTCTAAGTGTCTACATAGTTTTTAATCCCAGAGTGACTCCCATTTTCTTCTTTGAAGGAAAAATATGAAACAAGAATATACATGAGATGATATTTTCTGGGCAATAAAGGAAAACATTTCATTACAGCCACATGGAGATGGACCACTTCAGACTCTCAGGCATGTGCAGCTTGATGTGGTTTAGTCTCGAGGTAAACCATTTATTTACTAGAAGGTGTGGGGTTAGCAACCATCTGGCATGAGGACACGTGTAGCTTCTGTCCCCCTAAGAAGTTTCAGAACATCCCTGCAGCTCATCTCTTTTTGTGGCAAATGCCACTGTGGTGTATGTTTCCTCATGTAATTACAGTTAGTTCTCTGATTTGGATGGAGGCAGGAGAAGATTATTTTGATGGGGACTCTGATGTCTGCATCCTGTCCATGTCTCTGGATCTGGCAGCAGGACACTAAAGAGAGCAGAGACTCAGAAGCAGAGTTCCTTGGACGACTCTTGTTTCTCTAGGCATGGAATCTGAAAGCTTTGGTGCGTTGGTCTGGCTGCCCATTTGTCCTAGTTGCTTTTCTATGGTGTGGAGGGACACCATGACCAAAGCAGTTTATAAAAGAAGACACTCATTGGGGCTTATACTTCTAGAAGCTTATAGAGTCCATGCCCATCATGGCAGAGAACATACCAGAAAACATGACATTGGAGCAGGAGCTGAGGCCTTACCTCCTGAACCACAGGCATAATGCAGAGAGAGAGAGAGAGAGAGAGAGAGAGAGAGAGAGAGAGAGAGAGAGGACTAAATGGGATTGGTGTGATCTTTTGACACCTCAGAGTTCACCTCCCGGTGACACACTTCCTCCAATGAGGCACACCTCTCAATCCCGAGCAGGTCCACATGGACCAAATTCAAGTATGTAACCCACAGCAGCCATTCTTATTCAAATCACTACACCGCTGCCTTCGCTTCTGTGACTGCTGTTGACAAGCTGGCACTGGAAAAAGTAGATTAAAAGTTTAGCATTGGAAATGGAAGTTTAAAAGCCGGATGAAGGTCATATTATTACAGCTATCTTAAACGATGTATCTAATAAAACCACATGCCCCTTAGTCGTGAGGTTACTTAAGTTCCCATACTTAAGTTGTTAGTTGCTCTAAGAAATCTGCTGTTAGGTGATTTCAAAGGCCTGGGTGGTAGGGCACAGTACAAACTTGGGAACACTAATCCATCTGTGGTCTGATACAGACTGACTAAGACACTGTTGATGGTGCCACATGGCTGTGTTTTATTTTGTGCTGCTGGTAAGCATGTAATGTGAGATGATCTCTTGGCAAACATAGGGGCTATTTGGGGCTTTGGTTTTGCAAGAGAGCATGTTCTTGGTAAGGTACTTTCCACAGAAACTGGTCACTCAGTCTGTACTGGCTTTCTTTTTTAGTGTGAGAATGATGATTCTCCTCAGTGGTTGGTACCACCCTTCCCAGCTCTGGCTTCTTGTGTACAGCAAGTCTCCAGTGGTGGTGGAAGCTCCAAGTGATCACTGGGAGCTGGCTCCAAGTTTGACCTCCTAAAGACACCCACCCCTTTTTCTTTTTTAATATTTGGAAAAATGTTTTCATTTATTTAAGTGGATTTTTAATATTTGTTTATTTTTACTCTATATGCATGAAACTTATACCTGTGTGTATGTGTAGCTCATGCATACATGATGCCCTCAGAAGCCAGAAGAGGCCGTTGTATTCCCCAGGGACTGGAGTTACAGATGGTTGTGAACTGCCTTTGTGAGTGCTGGGAACTGAGAGCCTGATCCTCTACCAGAGCAATATGTGCTCTAAACTGCAGCGCCAACTCCCCAGCCTCTCTCTCTCTCTCTCTCTCTCTCTCTCTCTCTCTCTCTCTCTCTCTCTCTCTCTCTCTCTCCTTATGTGTCTGCCATGTGTGTACATGTTCCCATGGAGGCCAGAAGAGAGCCTTGGGTTTGTTGGATCTCGGCTAACAGGCATTTATGAGCTTCCGGATATGAGTGCTGGGAACCTCGGTCCTCTGGAAGAACACTGTGTACTCAGGGCCTCTGGGGCCTCATTCCAGTCCCAAGCCTCTTGATTGGTGTGTAAGTGTGTCTGAGATGTGAACACTTGTATGTGAGATAGCTGGTGGTGTGTGTGTGTGTGTGTGTGTGTGTGTGTGTGTGTGTGTGTGTGTGGTGTATAAGGAAGAAAATCTATCCACCTCAATACTTCTTCTCAGAAGAAGATTCAACATGCAGAAAAGTACTCATGAAGTGGTTTGGGGCAAGGCTAGGGAGGAGAATGTCTGAACGGCCAATGTGAAGTATCGGCTGGGCAGAGCCGCCGGAGCCCGTGTACTCCAGGGAAGGAAAGCATGGGATTAAGGGTAAATAAAGTGTGAGGGGAGGATAGCAGGGCTCATGGGAGATTGGGGCTTACAGCATCCTTTGTCAGAGTCTTCAACCCTAGCCTATCAAGTTCAGAGGAGAGTTTGAAAGCATTTATTCTGCCCAATTTTATGTTAAACAGAGCAAAGGAATCAGGTCAGGGAGGGTTTGTTGTTTAGTTTCCACATTCTCTTCATAAGAAATGGCTCTCTAAGTACTCTGTGTACCTTGTTTAAGAATGGGCTTTTTATTGACTCTGGGGCAGGATCCCTATTTGTGTGTTGCATTGTTCTTTGGTGTAATTGTGACAATGCTTGTCTTTAAGAAAAGAAAACCTTCCTGTGCTGGTGTGACCTTTGCTTAACTGGGGGGGGGGATAAATGCACATCTCCAAGGGTCTTAATTCTGACCTCTTGGTCATTGCAGAAGCAAATGCAAGAGAACAATTTATGGTGAAACCCAATGCCAGAAAGACTTAGGGTGTGACATACTCTTTCTCTGACAGGTTGCTCTCCTAAGGAATGACTGAGCCTCCTCCAGAATTAAAGTAGTTTCTTCTAAATGTTACGCCTACACTGTCCCAATTATATGCAACTAGGCTCTTACCATCCCCTCTCAACAATGTCATGCTGGGAGTCGGACTTGTGGCATGTGAAACTCTGGGAGACCCACTCAAACCATATCCAAGCCATAGCACAAAGTCATGTAAAAAAAAAAAAAAAAAAAAAAAAAAAAGATCAGTCTTCATTTCTCTCACAAATCAGATGAGAACTGTTTGGGACATTGTTAAATCCTGAGCTATATATTGAGGAAATATATAGGAAATATATACTGGAGAAGCCCATGCCGTGTGGTGGTTGTATGTCATATACCTACACCTTTCAAAGGATGTTTTACTTGTTTTCCTCCTTCTCACGGAGAAGTCCAAACTCAGAAAATCTAAGTACCGCAGTCATTGTTGGTGAACAGTCGCGTGCTTGTAAGTGCTAACAGGTTAAGAGCACCTCCTGCAACGCAAAGGTATGGGTATAAAAATAATTATCAGAACTTCATTCGGAAACTTGAGCCAAATAATTTA